AAAAGTGCTGTGCCGCTATTTCAGTCCGTACAGAGTACTCTATCGCGTCGTTTTGCTCAACTCTGAAGTTATGCCAGAGGGACAGGATATTTCATCACGACAACGACTTCGCACAAAAACTGTGCATGTTGTCAGGATGAAACTAGCTGTATTACGGCAAACAATACAACGTCGAGGACACAATGTTGTTCGACTTTACCTGCATCCACAATGAGGTGTTATAAATCACATCACATCACTTTATTTCCTTAAAGACCCCTCAAGGGGGTATTACATAAGGGTGGGTATATAGTGTAGCCAGGTGACTTCACTCGGTAAGAAAGTTTGTTACTTTGTCCAAGAAGTTTGATGAATTAGTAATGGCGGCAATGGTGTGGGAAAGGCCATTCTAATCTTTTGCTGCTCGAGGGGAAAATGACTGCCATCCAACTAGTTTGGCACAAGCATTGGGACCATGCACTCGGAAAAGGGGGCAATGACACAATGTGACTTCAAGTTACGGGCGCTAGCTGATACCTATGTCTTCCGGATAATATGCGGCGCACAGGCCTGCAGGACCCAGCTGCACGTGACCGGAGCTAGACACAAAAAAAAAGAACAGGGAGAAAAAAAGACGAACTGAGTCTTTGGCTGTTAAGAGATTTCGTTCTAGCTGTTCTATTATTCTCGGGCACAAGTTCCCCCTACCTACGTTAGTCTATTAAAGTGTTCTTTGAACTGTGCGTTGCAATATACCAAATTTAGGGTTATGTGCATGAATGGATGACGAATGTGTTTGCATGGTGCAAACATGATGATCATGACATGTATGTCATGTCATGATTATCATAATACAGTACATGACTATATACCATGCTCATTGCCTTATTCGCAGCCGTTTTGCTAGCTTCTTTTTTGCCAAATTTGGTATTATGTGACAAGAATGTTGTGTCGGGGTTAGCTGGCCAGGACGCCGGGAGAAGGACGTAGAACGAAGAGCTGCAGCACACCGACGCTGTCGGCGCAGCCACCCACGATTTCGGAGCGAAGCCCTGAGAGAAAACGCACATCCGTCCACAACAGGAGTCTGTGACAAAGTGATTTATTTACACATATATACATATCGTACACAACACTGCCACACTAGGCCTAACATAACATTTAAAACAGAAACTGAAACTGGAAACGAAACTAAACAACAGCACAACACAACATCATTCCCCCTTGAAAAAAAGACATAATAAAATACAATAGAACAGTATGCACAGCACATCGAAGAATACAATGCACATAGGAGAATAAGCACAGCAGAACACTTAGTACACTTTGTACAAGAACTCATAATCAGTCCAGGCATTGAAGAACAGGCGGCACACTAAAATAAGAAAGAAATAAGAAGTAAAGCACACTTAAAAATGTACACGTAACACAGTGCAGAATGAAGTATTAGAAAATGTATAACATGGACAACAATACAACAGCAAGGCAACTACGACATTGCGTCATCTTCTCCCCAGAAAGAGAATTTCCGCGCAGTCACTGGCATGTTTGAGTGTGTGGCGCCGACGCCTGTACCGGTGCCATTTTCATGAAAGGTCTCAGGTGCAGGCGCCGACAGCGCTCTGGTGGAACGAAAGAATGGGCCCATTAACGTTCGGTCCAACACCTTCGGCACAGGGAGGGCCGAAGGTGCACCGGCATGGTCAGCGCAACCTCGACCGGCGGAAGCACCTCTGGCGAACGTAGAACATCAACAGCTATCTCGAAGTCATCACCGGTTGTAGGAAGTACAGCCGAAGCGGGAGCAGGAACGGGCAGAAGAAGAGTAACTGGCTCAACTGAAGTATGGTCAGAAGCAGTAGACACAATCGGAATATTCATTCTAGCAGCGGAAGCCTTCCAGTCGAAGAAGGCAGAGCCAGGGTATGCTCAACTGCAGGCAGCACTGCAGGAGCAGGCGCATCAGGAGCACAGGACAGTTCTGTCGAAATTTGCTCACGGAGCAGAACAGGAAGGAGTCGAAGCTCAGCACAAACTGGACACACATCAGGTAGATGCACCACTTCAGGCATGACGTCGCGCACTTAACCAAGTTCACTGGTGAACAGTGGATGGAATTCGCTGGGTGTGGAGCAGGAGAAGAAAGCTCAGACGTTGTGTGGCAACCAGTCACATTTAAAAGGGTGATGATATTTACTTGGTCGCTAATCAAAGTAAGAGAAGAGACTACATCTTGAAATGTAGCAGAATTGCAGATGGCCTCATATTGTCCGAGCTTACCGCACGAGAGAGAAGTTTGGTTCTGAGCGGGACACTGAGAAAAATTTGCTAAGTGGTGAACCAACCCACAACGGAAGCAAAAGGCAGGCTGTGACTGTGCCGAAGAATGTTTGAAAGAACTAGGAGCTCGCTACTGGCCTTGAAAAGGCGAAGTCGAATGTGCGGACGCGCTCTTTCGGTGGCCTCCACGCCCTAGCGAGGTGGAAGGGCAATCATGTTGCCTGTTGCACTGAAAGTGGGATGAATGGGAGCCATCTTGGCTTTCCAGCCGAAACGAAGAAAGAGGGTGTGACCCGCGAAACAAGTGGGTGCCATGAGGCCCTGCAGCGGAAAGTTGCTGCTCCAAACGCGGAGCTAAGTGCTTTAACTGCACGTGTACAAGTTCATCCTCTTGTGTAATTGAGAGGGCTTCTGAGGGGGTGATAAACGAGCCTTTTTGTTATCCTCATTATCAGATGCAACGCCAATAAAGAGTCGCTGCCTGATCATGTCGTTTTCAAGCGCGCTGATCCCGCCGGACGCGGTGAGCGACTGGAGACTAGCTATGAAGTCTACAACGGGCTCACTGGGGAGCTGATGACGCTCATGGAAACAGGTGCGCGACATAATTGCAGGACGCATCTTTGAAATGGTCGACGAACATAGCGACTGCGGCTTGAAATACGTGAGACGATGCAAGCGTCTCTGACACGTTGGCGGATCTCAACGACTGATAGAGTTTAAGGTCGGCATGGCCCAATGCGTTGAGCAGCAGGGCCTTCCGCCCCTCCGGCTTGTGGGCGTCCTTCCCAACTGCATCCATGTAAAGGAGAAATGTTAACACGAAAAGAAAAAAAAAACAAAGTTCGCAGAGTCAAAGGCAGGAACAAACGATGTGACGCGGCCGCCGAGCAGAACAAAGAAGTGATGGTGGGAAAGCACAGAATTAGGGTTGCAGCAGAACTGGGAAAACGAGGCGGACAGAAGAAATGAGCCTACGAAAGAAGCTGTCCGTGCTTCACCTCGTCGCCATTGTCGTGTCGGGGTCGGCTGGCCGGGACGCCGGGATAAGAACGTAGAACGAAGAGCCGCAGTATGCTGACACTGCCGGCACAGCCACCCACGACATCGGCGCGAGCCCCTTTAAACTTTGTTATCATATGTGGCACTCTCGTAGTTCAGTATAGTAGATTGTGATGTGATGAAAACAAGTATATAGTGTGGCTTGGACAGCTTGCATATCCTTCCAAGTGCTCGCAACCGACGGTAGTTATGGTGTCACAGTGACCCCTTCCTACCAGCAAATAACTACTTGCAGTTGTCAACAGCAAAAAACAACCCTTGTGCCTGGCTCTCTCATGCTCTCTCTTATCAACCAGGCCCATTGTCGGAAACGATTCGCCCAGCCGTGCACCGAGTCTGCCCGCCGCATAAGCTGAGCTCGAGCAACAAAATTAGGGAGGAGCAAGCATGTAGAAAAGGGCATTCCAGGTCCGCTAAGAAACCTTAAGGGGTGAAGGATGCTGTCCGCTTTTACTGAATGCGCATGCTGCAAATTTTCGTTATTCAACTACACACAAGAAAAATTTTCCACCGGAACTAAATTGCAGGTCAAGATTCAGGGCCTTTATATACAGAGTGGCCGGTATATACAGAATGGCTCTGCAACGTGTTGTCCCATAGGCAAGGGTTTTCGTAGGCACCACGTGCTGTTTGCTTTCTCTTGACACTTCGCAAATGCAGGAACGATCGTGAGCGAGAGCGAACCCTCTCTTGTCAAGAAAAGGTGGTCTTTTTCTTGCGCTCAACCACATAAATATGCTTAGAACCTAAGTATTTGACCTCCTGCCCCCCCCCTCCCCCCCAGAAAAAAACTTTTTACGTCTGGAATTGTGTTGGACCTTTATATTAGAGCTATGTGAATAGCTAAATTTTAGAGGCCAAGTGAATTCAAATATTGAAGTTTGAGTGTGAATTGAATGGAATATTTTTTTAATACTATAATGTGAATTCGCGGAAAAAAAGTTACACAGAATCTCTAAGCATATTCTAATGAAATAGTTACATGGAAATGCTTCCTTTTGCTAGGTTGGTCTAGTGCTGTATGTATGGTGTTCCCTAGTTGTTTTATCAAGGAAGAGGCGACGTAGAGACCAGATTGTATTTACAAGATTTGGTGCAACAAAAATTTGAAGGGGCCACTTTCAATCGGATGACTGCATTTGCCTTTGAAAAATTTGACCATGCTGGAGCCTGAAAGGCAGCTATGCCACAATGTATGAAATAGATGAGGTGAGGTATATCAAAGATTTCAGAGGGTAACTTCTAATCGTAGGTTGACTGCATTTGTCTTTGGCAAGTTCGAATAGCAAGAATTCAGTGCATGTCAAATTGAATAGCTAACACTATTCAAAAATATTCGTAAGTTTTACTATTTGCACACCCCTAGTTTGTATTGTGTGAAAGGAAGATGTGAAAGAAAAGGCACCCAAGGGTTTTGCGTAGTTCTACATACCAGAATCAATTTTTTGTAGTGAGGAACCTGTGTCTGTTTCTCGCACAGTTTAGTGCAACAGTCCACTTGGCTAAATATCCGGCATTAATTTGCTTTCATTGTCATGTAATTCTTTTGCAGTCTTAAATTCATCTGGGGATAATTATTATCAAAATGATTGCAGTGAACATCGAGAAGAATAGTATGACTAAGTGCTTACTTTTCATATCACTTATGCATTATGTAAATGTCAAAGTAATCATTGCAGGCATCAAGTGGAATGCTCATACGTGGCTGTGCGTCTATGGCTGTCGGAGGGTTGTTGGGTCTGCTGCACCGACGTGACCCCCACTGTGTGGTGCCCTTGCTAGAGGCCCTGACTGAGCGTCTGCTGGCAGCTGAAGGCGGCCCTACGGGGCAGCTACTCACGGGGGCTGGACTGGCTGCAAGCGTCTCCGCTGCAGTGCGCCTAGGCCTCGTAGATGCTGCATCAGATTCCGGAGTGAGTGTTTCATCGTTTTTGAAGAGTTTGATCAAGAAGGTGGCTGTTACAGTGATGGGAATGCTGCTCCATGCTGCTTCAAAATGCAATATTTGCTAGTAACTGCTCCAAACCTGCTCTGAAAGGGTGTTGGCAAACTAAAAAAAGTGATGTTGAACCAAGGGATCATCCCGTGAGCCTAAGTGAAACCAAGACAAGCTGTATATACTATAATCCTCATGTGCTAGTGGCATACCTCCAGAAAAATCTCAAGGGGTGACACATATCAGGCCATGGTGCCCAACTCGTATTTTTAATGTGGGTTGTATTTTTATTTATATAGGAATTCAAACATACTTTCAAATAAAATTTTAAAAAACAAGCATGGGATCCAAGCTCTAGCAATTGCGTGATTATATTCAGACTCGTTTTTTTGCCTTTTTTTCAATTTCCATAGTTCACACAGCTGAGGGGCATTTAACATAGATACAGGTAAAAAGCCTTTTAAAAAGTTGATTGCGCTATACTTAACTGTTGACTCAATTATATCACGTTTTAAAGCTAAATCTCAAGTTGGACACTTGCAAGGAATGTGCTCTCTAGCCTGAACACAAGAAAAGTCCGGATTCTCTTGACCCTCCACTCCCCATGATTTATGCCAACTATACTGCTTGTACACTAGCTGCATACTAGCATATAACATGTTTAATAATAAATATAAATACTTATTAGATGCTTAAGTGATGTTTTAGACTTCAGAAGCCATTAGCAACATGCATCTTTTCTGAAAACACTGATAGCGACCCTGAGCTATAGCATTTTTTCTGCTTCGAAGACACTTAGGGCTGCTCTAACGCACCATTTTTTCTGCTCCAGGATCTGCTCCAAAAAGCAAAATGTCACTTTCATCACTGCTGTTATTCGCTGTGCTGTTGTACATCCATGAGCGATACTCCACAAATGCAAAACTATACCACTGCTACCGTCTAATCAGCTGTGTGAAATACAACTAGGCACAGCGCCATGCTCAGAAATACCCTATCAAGTTTAGGGGCAAGTGCCTTCAGTCATAGATCACATTGTAAGAGCAACAGGCTCATGATTCGAAGGTTCTGGGTTCAGATTCCATCAATAGAAAGGTAATTTTTTTCATTCGCTTTATTTCATTTTAGTTTATGTCATAATTACTACATTACAGCAAGAGACCTAACTGTGAGTTGGATTCATTTGGTTTTGTTCAGCAATAAAATGAACCGCCTTAAAAAAATTGCTTTTCTTTCATTGAGCTCAGTCTTAGCTAGTGCACTGTGCAGCCTTTGCATGTTACAAAATAAAGTGAATTTATGTGCCATGTTCATGGACCGCTGATATGCAAGGGTTGTGTTGCCAGCCCTACGTAAACCAAGTGAGAATGATTTTGGGTCTGTTTTTTGTCAGTAACAACCATCTAATATGCGTAAGCTCATTAGGCTTGCGAGCTTTTTTGATAATTTCATTTCAGTTATTGTGCCCCCAAAGCAAAAGCACTACAAAATGTAGTGTTCATAACAAAATGAAAAGCATTTTTTTGAAAGATGCACCAATAAAAGAGACCATACGGTCAAATTCCTTTGTAAGATACTGATGTAAAAGAAAAATCAAATGAAAGGCACCAGTGTGCCTACAGTGAAATAGGTGTTACAAAGAAAATATGTATGTGTTACCTTGCTTATAAGAGACACCTTTGTAAATGTGTAGGTGTAGGAATGCTTCTTGTATAAAGGGGTTCAACTGTATAGTGCACCAGTATAGTGCAGATACAATACACAAAATGAAAAATCATATGAGCACACAAAGAAGAAGGAAGGAAGCACTTGACAGGAAAGACACTCAGGTGCTTGTCTATGCACTGCAAGGATTGTGGGTGCATGCCGCAATTGAGCAGCATGAGGATTTTGAGAAAATCTAAACTCAGATTGACCAGAGAAAGCTCAGAAGCCGGGCAGATAAGGGTGAATGCAAGCACATGTATCAGTCTTCTCTTGGATGTGCTAAGTGGTAAAAAAGTGTGCTTTTTAGGTAGTTGAAGGATAGAAACAAACCTTGGGTTGGGTTGGTTTTTTATTGCGATAGTAGTTATATGGACACTCTCGGCTAGATTTTCCTGTCGGCGTCGCTGTAACTCACCGTATGTGTATACATATATATATTTATGAAAACTCTGAGGCGCAGAATTGAACTTGAAACCTCTGGGTCGTGAATGCGACGTGTTAACCACTGAGCCGCCGAGGAACACGTCCTTCGACGTGCAAACCGAAAGCTATTTATATCTATCATTTATCGCTGGTGATGGGCATCTTGGAGGGGAACTATTGTGTTTTCAGCATTAACAGCAAGATGGCGCAATGAGTGCGCGGCGGCGTGTGCCCTCATCTCCCTTGAGTACTTTGTCTCACAAAGAGAAATGGGTGGTCGTAAAACCCCTGAACGCACACTCGGGCGCCCTTATCTCGTGGTTGGGAGCATCTTATGTCTTGGCTGTCCAAGCTTTCACAGAAATAATTCTGTTGTAGTTACCGGGCGCACAAAGGTCACTGATATCGTTGCACAGTCTCCGTTTGCGACAAGAGCATGCTTTTCAGACACAGCGAAGTAACAACTGAGACACTTATTCGCGTTCATCTGTACCTGTGAGTACGTTTTGTGCATTATTATTGCGTGAAAAACGCAGAGCACGTTTCCATTTGCTTGCCATTCTGCGCATGACCTTTCAATTTGTTGCTATCGCGTTCTTTGCTTTGTCTTTGCGGCAAAGCTGTCACTTGTTTTTTAAGGGTGATGTTTTTTGGTAATAATTGATTGCACCTGCATGTTTCAATGTTTTCAGACGATGAATTCATCTAATAAATCTGGAGTGTAATTTGAGCATCTTTACTGTCAAGTGCTTCCTTCCTTCTATCTTGCTCGTTTATTTATTTCCACTTTATGTTGCATGAACTGGGCCAGCATTCCACTATTTTAAGGTTAATACAGTTGAACCTGGATATAATGAAATCTATAAGTTCCCGAAAAAAAATTTTAACGAACACTATTTTTATTATATTCTTCTTCGGCATAAAGATTCACAAAAGAATAAGAAAATAAACAAAAAGACAACTGAAGACGTTGTTCACCCAGAACATTTATTTAGCAGTAAAAAAAAAAAAAACGTTATTATTGAGATAGCAATTATTCGGTCACCACCATGTACCATAAAGGCACAAAGTGGTAACATGCCCCTTTGCATCGTAACTTCTATTTGCGGGTAAAAGCACGCAATAGCTCCTGAAGCAGAGATCAAATCAGCGGGCCTGTCTCTATTGTGCCTGGAGGGTGAATGCGATAATAACCCCCGGCATGTTATATCTGCAGTCGATTGTTCAAGCAGAGGGGAAACACCGTACTCATCTTGGGCGAGCATGAAGATATGTGAAGCTCTCAACACAAAGAGACTGTGTATGAAGGGCGCTTCTTCTTAAAGCAAGCGTATCTTCTTTCACTAGCATTTTTTGAAGTTATACAATATCAGATGCAAAGGTATAGCTGTGGGCCTTAGTTCGTAAAACATTACTGTTATGTCGGGACATAAGAGCCCCATGACGCAGAGACCACATGATACGGCGGCTGGCAGGAAACCGTTTAATAACTCTTAGAAGTTAACGCAGGAGGTGGAACAGGATCGCATGATCCAGCATCATTTGTGCATGAGCACGTTGGTTGCACCTGCAAGTGATGCGCAAAATTTGGAATGACTGTGTGTCTGTTGGTGTGAGCATACACGACATCATATCTCTTACCTCTTAGACGGGGTCGCCGTATGGCTCAGGTGGACGCTGATCACATTGCGCCTCCGCACAGCTTAGTGCTGCGCGAAGCCGCTGAATCGGTCATCGGTAGCTTGCGTTGCACAATTGTTCGGCCTGACTTGTCTGGCACAACTGTCCGGCCTCTCTATGTTCAGAGTCGGGCGTCATGGGTAGATAATGCCGCGACGGTGCTTCCTCTGGCATTGCGATCACATATAGAGCCGGCACTGTGCCTTGTTCACTCGCTTCTGGTCCTTTCGTTTGATCATTCCACAGCAAATATTCTGTCGGGTAGGCCTCTACACCTTTTTTTATTAATTAGGGTTCCGACAAACCACTCCGCTTCTTGACTTGATTAGCCAAGATGGATGTCCGAGTCTCTTCTGTATGGTACCTTTAACCCAAACAATGCTTCCTGTGAAGTTACGCAAAAAAAGCCAATTGTCCAATGGCGGCAAGCTTTCTTCACAATTTAGTGAGGCAGTGGTCAGTGGTCACTCTTTCAGTCCGAATTCCCGGTCGTCGCGGACAATCTGCGATTCTTCGTTGCATGCCTTGCACTTTGCAAATGCCAACAAAGCACTGTTCACTGTGTCCAAATCTATAATTGTGAATGCGGTTCCATCAGGTGGCCGACCTGCTTCGTCTTCACTGTCAACCGTGTATGCGCGTTTCCGCTCCGTTGCTGCAGTGGATGACAACTCCGATAACTTATCTTCAGCTTTAGCTCGCTCCTTTTCCAATTCAGATTGCTGCCGATAGATAGTATCTAGACGCACGCGACCGCTGCTCGAAGGCTCCGCGAATGACGGACTTTGCACAGGCTCCGTGACAACTGATGCGGTAGCTAGGCCTTCTGTGGTACCGTCGATGATTTCGCCATGGGACGCGAAGAGTGTAGCATCTCGGGGGTTTTGTTGTATCACAGAGCGCTTCTTGAAATTCGCAACTAGCGTTCTTCACACCTTTTTCGCACCAAACTTGTGCCGCGTGTGGAATTTGCGCTCAGGATTTGACATTGTGAAACTTCTCTGCTGACACTGAGGCAAAATGGCGGGCATGGACGTGCGCCTCAATAAATACCCAGAGCAGACGAAGCCAGGAGCCTCTACCAATAGGGAAACAAGCTCAAGTCACGTGCGCGAATAGGAAGGCGCTCTGATACTTCTTTTTGCCACTCATTTCACAAGCTGCCAA